AAACTATAAGTTCCCTGAGGGCGGGGACTTCATCTGCCTTGTTCACTTCTGTATGAACAAATGCCACACAAACCCTATTTAAGTGGACCGTCTTCTGTTAAAATTGATGCAAGAACCAATAAGATTCAATTTCCATATAATTTTTCCTAATAAACGGTCTTTGAAAATGATTACATCCTTTTAAAAATAGAAATCTCATCATCTTCCATCTCGAAAGGCAAGGGAACCAAAAGCAAAAAACAAGTTATCTTTTCAACACCTGGGAAATGGTTGGAAAGCACTTCTCTTTCCTTATCACATCTTGGCTCTCAGTGGCTTTTACTTGCCTTAAGATTTCAGGATTCCATCATGTCACCAGCATAATTTCTACCAGAGGAGATGTTAAAAATTATATTTTTCATCACCTAATATCAAATTGTCACTCTGTGTCATGCAGTGACCCAGCTGAGTCACCTCTACTGGCATGAAATGGGGAGTAGTACAGTAGGAACTCAGCAACATCTCCATTCACAAAACCAGAGTTGGAGCCAGCAGTTCTGACCCTGGCCATGAAAGGTCCGGTTTGGCTGCTAGGAGTGATATGTCAGCCTCCTTCCTGATCACGAACTTGGATGCTGGCTGGCTAAGCATTACTCTAAACGTTTCCAGGCATGGATAGAAAAAAATTACCTTTTGCATTCAGCTTCTTTCAATCCAGGTTGTAATTCTGGGAAGCCCTGCCACCTACTTTCAATGTTCTAGAGGTAAGTGTGAGGAAGTGAGCTGCACACACGTTATCTATCATGACTGTGGTCAATGTGACAACCAGACCCAAGCAGGGTGCAGACTTGCATGGATGAACTACCATCTTACTAAAGGAGCAGAAATCAAGCCTATGGGGATGGGATATGGGGGGGGGAGATCAGCATTAGCACAGGAAGTACGGAGGAAATCGGTATGGGGCTACTGGGATGCTGGAAGCAGACATTAGGACTCTGTCCTGTTTTAAGCCTGGCGGGAAGCCTGACGGACCACAGCAGGTCAGGGAACTAGAGGAAAGTGTGGAGCTGTCTTAATTTTTGTTTGTGTGCTAGAAGTAAAGTATGGAGCAATATGGTAAGGGGTTTAATTAGAGATGGAGTGAAGAAAACTGAAAATACCACTGAGCATATGCAGTGTAGAGAAGGTTCTATAATGAAATAATATAAAGGGAGGGCTAGGTAAGTGGAGCCAGCTGTATCTGATAAGAGAGCCATGGAATCTGCCTGCCATGTGAGCAGAAGTTGCTGAGATGCCTGCAGAAACTTTCTCCACCAGTGAGGCTGCAGGTTCTTATGCAGGCCCTTTACAATCGCTTACTTGTGAAGCAGGCTCCCCAGACTGGGCTGAATTCAAGTGGTACCAAAACTTTTTTTAGGATACCATATAGAAAGCCCAGCTGGCATCTCTGTGCCAAGCCATCCCACAACAAGACTTTAAAGTGAACTCAACAAGTAAGGATCTTTGGGAAAAGCCAACCAGTCACTGTTAAGCATAGAAAAGAGCCTCTTCTGAAAGTTTTCTTTGCCTCAAACACTCAGCTGGCCATTGCTCCATGACCTGAAGGCATTAAAAAACATATCAAGAGGGGCTTCCCTGGTGGCGCAGTGGTTGAGAGTCCGCCTGCCGATGCAGGGGCCACGGGGTCGTGCCCCGGTCTGGGAAGATCCCACATGCCGCGGAACGGCTGGGCCCCCGAGGCAAGCGGCCCCACGC